CATTTCAACCATAAGAAATTATAATCAAGGAGAACTTTAAAAATTACAGTAATTCATACAACTCGTTAATTTATAAAAAAATACTATTAAATTCATTGATAAGTATTAGTTTGTAAATCAAGGAAGATTAACCAGTTAGGAGGTTATCAAGGTACAGTTAGGGCCACCTACTATGTTAAATATGGACCAAAGAGCCAGTAGGTATAATTACAGAGGCACTAAATTAGTTGACATGTTACACACCACACAATATCATATCTATCAGAGCTAAACAAGAGTACCTGGTGCATTGAAAACAGAATTATTTGCCCTTAATTATATTCTTTTCTGAATATACCTTTCTTTTTAAATGAAATAGATAGTAACACTCTTCACCAGAAATCATTTAATATTTCCAAACTGTGTTTGAAAACCATATAGAATAATCTTAATAGAAATATCATATAAATTTAAATAATAAATAAGACATGGGAAGCAACACCCTTATGATAGTAACATGGTAGAATTGTCACAGAAATGGGTTTTTTGGCCAGGTTAGGATAAAAGGCCTATAATTAGGGGCCCAAGGGTGTGGAGAAAGATTCCTTAGGGCACATCATGTCGGCCCTGATAGTGGATTAGAACATTTGGACTGACAGGACCATCCGTCATATACTGACAGCCAGATCATGTGACTCAGGCTCGGGTTGCTGGGAAGTATTCAAAATGAGGCCCACAAAAAGGAGATTTACGTTTTATTTATTGTAACTGTAGTGAATTTGTAGCTTTCTGTCTTTATACTGATGTGACATTAAGTACAAAAAAGATTAAGTATGTCATTGTGGTGTCCCAATTTGGAAAGAGCAGGTCAGCGGCTAGGACCTTCTTTCAGGAAAAACATGCATAACCACTGTTTACTATTGAACATAAAATTTTCATGGGTGTTGATAATATATGGATGTAGAGTGATATTTAGTTGCAGCAGAGTACAAAATGACACATTTAATATGACAGTTGACTTAAAACCTATGATGTGACCTTGACCTGGCACATCATCAGATTTAAATTTTGGTGCAAAGTTTAACCTGATTCAACAAATTAGCACCTTGATGAATTTGAATTGGCAAATTACTTGTATTTGTCAAAGGAAATAACACCCACTACTATCAAAATTAAGTACATGCTTACCACAAGAAGTAAGAAAATAAGCTTACCACTGAAATTTTTAAGTTAATTGCACCTCAGCTGCTGAAAACTTCAGTTACTGAACTGAATAGTGAAAGATATAGGTTGGCTTATTTGTAGACATTGGCTTATTGCAGCAGTATTCAGTATGTAACTTAAATATGTTAACACATTGTAACTGATATTAAATATATTCCATATTAAAAAAAAATTAAAGACATTGAAATATTAAGTCTAATGATTAATTCATGAGCAGTGTGTTTTGAAGTGAAGCTATAATTGGGGTACTTCACCAGCTGCTTCTGCATACCTTAGTATTTTTATGGTAATATTTGATTCGAAAATCACATCAGTTTGCCATTGACCAACAATCATATAAATATTTCCCTTTCATAAAAATATACAAGCGTCAGAAATGCTGGTGATTCAAATAATTGACGACTGGCTAAATAATAATTTGTGAGAAAGTTATAGGCATGAGACTAATGAAACATTCAGAAATGGAATTAAAGGGGGCTTTGTATTTAACAGTTTCTTGTGAAGTGATGAGATATGGTCCAATTAGGTGGAGATATGAACTGTAAATTTTAGCTTCTTTTGCTGAAAAAAAGATGGCTTTCATGAGACATGATTTTTGGATTAAAAATTAATGAGTGTTTATGTAAAGGAATAAAAATTCTTTTTTTTTTACTGAACCACTAAAGATTAAGTTGTGTGCATTGAAATAGGGTTGTTAGGTAGATCTAGATTGGAAGTAATCTTTTGAAATGTTGTTATGGTTGGATGTAATCAATTTTAACATTATTAAGGATTGTGATCATTATTTCTGATTTGCTGGTATGATTCCTCGGAGGAGCTATATGTTATAGTAAAACCTCATGCTATGTTATTGAAGTGTATGGTTGATTAATCCAAGGCTGTGTTGTTCATGTTACTCCTTCATCTAATTCCTTCACAATCCTGCTTCATCAGAAATGTAGCCTTGAAACTGGGGCTTCAGCTTTAAAACTAAGAGAATATTGAAGTTTCATGCAGTGTATAATTGTAAATATTGTCCCACCTGAGGGCTGATACAAATGATTTCCATGTTTAATGAAATATCACCAAGTTATTCCATTCCAAAGGGAATTACAATTCCATGATGTAGTTGCTGTGAACTTTTTTGTGGATTATTTGTGAGAAATTTTGTGATACTTAAACAAATATCAATTATAGTTTCTTATACTTTCTGTATCTAGATGGTTAAGATATATTGCTAGAAAGAGAATGTTACTAAGGTGTTATTTATTAATTGGCACCAGGATCACTTACCTCATCAACATAGTGTGGAAGTACTACAGCATCAAAATTTTATGGCACACAGATTTGGAATAAAAATATGAAATATTTAGTTAAAAAGTGGCAGACTTTTTTTAATAAACTTCAATAATTTTTATTATTGGATTTCATATTTGTGGACAATACATTGCAATAAACAACTTAAAATCAGTAAACAGTTCATGTTCATTACACCCACATGTTCGAAGTATTGTGGGTATTGCCAATTGTAACACAACCATTCTGTAGAATGTTTGACTTATTTTGATAAATGAGTTTAGATCCAAAGAATTGTATTGACATCGGTGACATCACAGATGATTATATTCTGTGTTTTGTCAATTATTTGATAAATTCCTACTTGAGGTATCAGGTTGTGTCTGGTAAATTCACTACAGGAGACTGTTGAGATATCCTGGGTTCATCAGTACAGGTATTTGTAAATGGTAAATTCCCTTTGGTGAACCTCACTGCTGTTAATTGCCTTGGTCTCACATCACCTGTGTTAGTGTTTAGATCTACACAAAGTAACAGTGTTAAGGGCTTAAATTACATGGAGAAATATCACAGCAGTAAACTACAATTATTTATTCCTTTTAAATTATCAACTTTTTGCAAATAGATGTTTCATCAAAATTTTTATTTGTTTACTAATATGAAAAAAAAATCTACTATATAAATTATAACTGAGTTATTAGTATAAATTTGTTTTTAAAAATGGAAACCCTCAAACAAGGAAATATTTACTACATTTCATATGGATATATTGAAAAATGACTATTTTAAGTATACTTGTTTTTAAAAAAAATCAACTTGGCTATTTACAATAGAAAGAACACAAAAAAAATCTAGATATTGTCCCTAAAACATTTGTGATAAAAGGTGAGATATACTGGGTTTGATATGTATACAAAGTTTATCGTCTGTAGATAAATAGCCGCAGGGTCAGATTTACAGCAGAGCTGTGATGTGTAGCATCTTAAGGTGTGGGTTTAGATGTTAATTGTATTTAGGGATAAGATCATCATGACATAGGTTTTTCACTGAAGGAAAATCCTGATAAGGATTTTTTTTACTTTAAACAAAGCGGAGATATTATCAGGTGTGAGGTGTGTGTATTGTACAGCTGATCTGGTGGTGAAATTTGTATGTTAATGTATTGCACGTGTTTTCTGTCAAGAAGGCCTAATGGGTACTTATCCAGGCACAAACCATTCATTACACAGGCCAATTAACTAACAAAACTACAGCCTGCATTTCACACGAATGACTTGCATGAAAATTTAATTCCCACCAGAGTAACATAAAAAGTGTATTTTCTCCACTGAAGCCACATGGCCAACAGTGTGGATGTGTTTTTGTGTGTGTTTCGTACTTAGGTACAGTAACAGAACTCAACAGCCCTGTTGGTTCAAATAATGTGTTAGCTTAGAATTTATAATGAAAGCAAAAGAAAGGTGTTTTTAAATAATTGGCAAATGTGTTACTTATTAAATATTTCTGTATCAGTTTTGAAAGAGTGAAGTTCTGTAAGAATATCTTCTCTTTGAATTGAATGTGGTGTGAGAAAGCCTCTTGTTAGCTGTGTCATTATTTCACAGGATGATTGAGGTCTGTGTAAAGGAACGAGGTCTGTGGAAAGGAACCTAACAGCCTTGTTAATGTAGTAAACGGATCACAGTCTTGTCAAAGATGATTTATATTTCCATACTACATTGCAAAATGGATGTTTGGAGTTGTTAGTTATTACATCTCATTAAAATTTATGAACTATTATGTGCAGATGGGAAGGCGTTTATTTCTAGGTATTCATACCATTCAAGGCACTGGTATTAATAGTTTTGGTTATACACATAGCCAAGTATTTGTTGCCAAATGAGTTTGTTTGTGTATTTAAGAGGAAAGGCTGGGGATGTAATTTTAAATATCACGTTTGCCATACAATTAAAAACACATCTATGTAATTCTATTAATTAAAGATTGAAAGTGACAATTTCAATTAGTATAATGGTAGCTCTCCTGATGGTGCTGTCGGCACATTAATCTCTGTCTGGAAGTGTACACATATAGACTAATGTCTGAATACTGATTGTGATTGTGGTTGGCTCTGTGTACAAATATTTATTTTTCCAGTCAATATGTGTCATTTAAAACAGATTTTGTAATCTCTTTTCACCATTTCTGCTGAATAGGTTCAGCAATCATTAAAATACATTTAAAAGGAAATCATTCTTGTCATTACAATTAATGACATAGAATAATCGCCTTAAAATGAGTTATTACCCTGGGAAGTGATATTTACACACAAGCAGCTGAACTAAGTGACTTTTACCTAAATTCAATATTTTCACATACTCCTGGCCTACAAAATAGATGTGTTTGATATATATATATTGTTCAACAAATTTCAACAACATTTTCTTGAAATTTCTGTAATATTTTAAAATTGTTATTTGTAATTCAGAGTTTGTGAGTTTGTTTATGATTTCAATGTTTTTTTTCTTTCTATGTATTTACAGGTTTCAAATTGGTTTGGCAACAAGAGAATTCGTTACAAGAAAAACATTGGTAAAGCACAAGAGGAAGCTAACCTGTATGCTGCCAAAACAGCTGCTGCAGCTGCAGCTGTGGGTCACGATGGGCAAGGTAGTGATGGCTTGTACCAGGATTATGATGATGATGTATTGTAGGGCCAATTAATCCTATAGCACTTTGTACAAATCTTAAATGGGAGATAAATTTATTGTACAAATCTTTAAATGGGAGATAACTTAATTGTTCAAATCTTTTCAGAAGGAATAATTTTAAACAACAAATCTACCAAAAAATAATGGGTAAAAGGTATAACTTTCTGAACTTGCGAGTTATGGTGATCACTGCTCTTCATCAGGTAATAATGTAATAGATAAGGGAGATAACTGACTTCTCCCGAGATGGACTACAGCATTGTGATTTTGTTGCAAAGGGAGGAATATTTTCACTGTGCACCTCTGTAGTAAATGTCGTTGATGAATAGAAAGATACATTTAGGTTTTAGGTTAATAGATTTCATAAGATCATAAAATACTAAATAAGTTTAAAGAGGAAGAGAACTCTGGAATTTGTTTTAATCAATGATAGGTTATAAAATTTTGTATAATAGGTGGGGAGGAAAGGAATAATATGGATAAAATGCTACTTCTGTTGGATCACACATCCAATAAGTATTGCAATCAATGTTGATAAACTTGTTATGTGTCAAGTTCTGTTATATTGATGTAGTAGTTTCTTGTGCTTTGCAAGTGGTAAAAAGTCCTACGCATGTAAAATTTTGCATTTATTTCCATTGGAAAGTGTTGTGATCTGTTAGGGAAGAGAGTTAGTTCTAGTCTGATGTTACTTGTGGTCTGTGTCTGTGAGATGGGTGACGTTTTAAAGTCAAAGGTCATTTAACCATTCAGTTCAGGGTCAAAGTTGGTGTAGCTCTGATGATTCATATCACTTTATCATCTAAAGGTTGATGTTAGAGGGTAAAAATTAAACACTGACATTCAAAGATTCTGGCACCAATGAGATGATATACATGTGTATATATATATATAAGCTGCTTGACATATGTGCTTTTGTGTCATTAGTCTTTCTCATTCCTCTAAGATATGTCATAAGAAACCATCAAAGACAATTTTGGTTGTCTTCAGTATATATTCTCTGGCTCAAGCAATTTCTTGGTAAATTTAAAAGCATATTATGATTATGTTTTTGATTTTGAAAAAAAAATGGGACAAAAAGAGATGATTAAAATTCCCTTTTTAAAATTTTCAGTAAATGTTTTACATATTTTTCTGTAGTTTTGTTTACTTTTATTTTCAAATTGTAATCTTGTAACTTTCACCCAGAATTGCAGTAATGAAACCTTTTTTAAAATATTTAGATTGTTTTCAAATAAAATCAGAGCCAATTTTAAATTGTAATTTTATATCATCATGTTGAATAGATTTTACTAGGATTTAGAACAGTTTTTATTTTGCTTTTCTGCTGCTTTTGGACATCCTAATGACAGCAATATATTAACGATCTGTGTTGTTTGCTCTCAGCTTCGTTCTACATCTATATATTCTTTAAAAACTACATATAAACCATTGACTTAATTTTATGTTCATAAACATAGGAAATGTTTGCCCATGTTTCATTTTGCAAATAGTGTGTATGCATATAAAAAAAAATCTTGTATACTTTCTTCATAATGAACTTATAGTTTTCATGATATGAATTTTTATTTGTTGTGAATCGTATTCATTTTGATAATGGGTATGTTAGACTATGGAAAAAATATTTAATAGACAAATGATATGATAAACCATGTATGTATAAATGAATGGACATATTTAATATGTATATCACTTTTTTTTCTTGCCAAAAATCACATAATGTGTATTTTGAAAACTGCATTGGTGCATTGGATGTTATGTAAAAACCATTATTTTTAAATGGTCAAGTTAAATTTTGTTATAATGTCATATTTGACCAGGTAAACATACTACTGAGCTTCAAGTGGTGATTTTACTTACAGTAATGTTTTCCTCCTTTAAATGTTATTGATGAATTTATTTAAATATCAATACAATATTTGGTGCATTTTTATAAAAATACATATTTTTTGTATATATAACTTTCAGGTGTTAACCTCAATATTTTAGATATATTATGGGTTTTCACAAAATATGAAATATTTCTTATCAAGAGCATTACATTGTGTATTTAACACACATATCCTTTTATATATAAATGGAACTATAAATAAAACTTACAAGATATGAAACTAATTAAGCTTTACTTTGGCGGAAATGTTGAAGGAATATTGGATCTACCTGGTCAAATATGATATATGTTGTGTACCTCATCTATGTACCTGTAGACGTGTGAATCAGACAGCTTGTTATTTGTGTATTATTCATAGTCATATGACAACCACAAATCTTATGTATTTTTTTTTTCCTTTTGAAAACAAAAGTAATTCAGTTGTGTCATTTGTAAACGTTTGAGAAAAAAAAATGTGTTTTTTGTAATGTAACGTTTGCATGGAAAGATATACCTCATTTTAATGAAAATTTATGAAAATAAAATCTCGTGAAGATTGAAAGTCCATCTTAGTGTGATCTTTTTGTCTTATTAACACAACTTAATGACAAGCTGTCTATCAAGACGCAGTGTAACATCCTTTTACATGGTTATGTCCCCTGCATATGAAAGTACTGCCACTATTTTGTATTTTATCATCAGATATATGCAAAAGGAACCAGTTTCAATATAAGCCAATTTTAGCGTGACTAAGCTAGCGTTGATCTGATATGGACAAATATTTTGATTGGTAACTTGTAAATTTGTATTAAACATAGAAAAAGGAAACAATGTTGTTCATTGAGATATTAGATAAAGCAATTTATTAGGTATATGAGACAGAGTAATTTCAAATGTAATGAAGTAACATGTATAGACACAGGAATGGGACATTTGTTAAACAAGGAAATGTGACAATGTCATTTATTGGACTGAAATGTGAGGATGTCATTCATCAGAAAAATTCCTGGACAATGAAATGAAATATCATGCATTCGTTAGATAGAAAAAAATGAAATGATTGCATTTCTTAGATAATTGCAATGACGTGTTTGGTAGATATGAGGTGACATCATTTGTTATGCAGAAATAACAAGACATCATTTGGCAGAGACAGAAATAGACATGTCATTTGTTTGAAAAATGAGACAAAAGTAATATGCTAGAGAAAGAAGACATTGTTTGTTGGAGAAATGAGATTTCATTTGTTAGAAAATTTGGTCATACAGACTGGAAATGATATATGCCTTAGTGATAAGAGGTCTGAATTTTTCATTTGAGAAATGAAATCAGCAGTTTACAGAGATAGTTTTCTTGTTCAATGGACCAGGCAGGATAGCAAGGTTCAGCTTTGTATTCAGGGGGCATAACTGATGTTATCAAAACAAATTTTTCTTCAAGTTTGAAATATTATTTGACATTGTTATCCAATGCACCATTGCCCACTGTTTGTACAATTAATGGATTATATCTTGATTAGAGTGAGATCTCATGGCTGGTATCAAAGAATATTTCATATTAGTATGATTATCATTATTACCCAGTAAGCCTGGTAAAAAAAAGCCCCATATATATTTGTCAGTATTTAACAGAATTATCAGGAAATATTATTTCAATGTCCTGTAATTAACCCACCAATTTTGACTTCGAGTCAGGCATGCTGGGAAGTTTACTGGATAAAAAACGGTAGATGAAGGATAAAAATTAACAACATTGTGTCTTTGCTGATATCACCTGAAGATAAAAACGCAGATTGCATCCTCATAAGACAGAAATAACATTCTTATGTAATGATTTTCACATTCCTGTAAGATCAGTGATATCGTTGGCAGCAAGGTGGTTAACATGGTTATCAAGTGAGGTGTGTTATCTAGTTGTGTTTTTTGTCAGTGAGATGTATCAGTAGAGATGTATGGTAGTGTCCCCATTGTCAGTGAGATATATCAGTAGAGATGTATGGTGGTGTCCTCATTGTCAGTGAGATATATCAGTAGAGATGTATGGTGGTGTCCTCATTGTCAGTGAGATATATCAGTAGAGATGTATGGTGGTGTCCCCATTGTCAGTGAGATATATCAGTAGAGATGTATGGTCGTGTCCCCATTGTCAGTGAGATATATCAGTAGAGATGTATGGTGGTGTCCCCATTGTCAGTGAGATATATCAGTAGAGATGTATGGTGGTGTCCTCATTGTCAGTGAGATATATCAGTAGAGATGTATGGTGGTGTCCCCATTGTCAGTGAGATATATCAGTAGAGATGTATGGTATTGTCCCCATTGTCAGTGAGATATATCAGTAGAGATGTATGGTGGTGTCCCCATTGTCAGTGAGATATATCAGTAGAGATGTATGGTGGTGTCCTCATTGTCAGTGAGATATATCAGTAGAGATGTATGGTGGTGTCCTCATTGTCAGTGAGATATATCAGTAGAGATGTATGGTGGTGTCCTCATTGTCGGTGAGATATATCAGTAGAGATGTATGGTGGTGTCCTCATTGTCAGTGAGATATATCAGTAGAGATGTATGGTGGTGTCCCCATTGTCAGTGAGATATATCAGTAGAGATGTATGGTAGTGTCCCCATTGGCAGTGAGATATATCAGTAGAGATGTATGGTGGTGTCCCCATTGTCAGTGAGATATATCAATATAGATGTATGGTGGTGTCCCCATTGTCAGTGAGATATATCAGTAGAGATGTATGATATTGCTCCATTGTCAGTGAGATATATCAGTAGAGATGTATGGTATTGTCCCCATTGTCAGTGAGATATATCAGTAGAGATGTATGGTGGTGTCCCCATTGTCGGTGAGATATATTAACAGAGATGTATGGTGGTGTCCCCATTGTCAGTGAGATATATCAGTAGAGATGTATGGTGCTGTCACCATTGTCAGTGAGATATATCAGTAGAGATGTATGGTGGTGTCCCCATTGTCAGTGAGATATATCAGTAGAGATGTATGGTGGTGTCCCCATTGTCAGAGAGATATATCAGTAGAGATGTATGGTCGTGTCCCCATTGTCAGTGAGATATATCAGTAGA